CCCCAAGATAAAGTACCCTGTCTAATGTTGGGACTAGGACAAATTCCACCTTTCTCTCGAACTTATTTAATTTAATAAATTTCCTAATTCGACCCACAACGGGATGAGGAGTCTTTATCACCGATTCGGCAGTCTTTATCACCGATTTGAATGGGTATATAGGTAAATGGGCACGCTCCGCCAGTTCAACACCACCCTTGTCTAGACACGTGGCGGTGGCCAAGATGCCTTCGATCTCCTCAGAACCTATCTTAATTCGGGCGTATAGGCGAGTATCTTCCCCCTAATACAACATGGCTTCGGATATTTGATGCCTTAAATTCTTCCTGACTCTGAATTTGTTTCTAGCTTTTAGTAAACTCTTAATTCTGTGGGGATTGTATGTCTTTTTTAATTCATTTGACATTACTAATTCATATCCTTCCTTTTTATTAACTATCCTACTGTTATTCATTGCAACTAATTCATTCACTTCATTATCCTTACTGGCTACACTATCATGTATAAATTCCTGAACCTTACTTTCTAAATCTTTACTACTATCTTCATTAAAAATTCTTTTTCTAGCCGCCTCATACTCCTGCAGGCGGACATGCCAGGGTATTATTTCATTTATTCTTACTTTATTTCGTTCATTTTTACTTATACTAACACTATTTCTATCTCTTTCTAAATTTTTCTGCCCCTGCTCCTCAGGCTCCATTACTGGGGATTGGATTGAGCCGGACGCCCTATCCCCCTTGCCGCACCGGTCTTCTGGTTTCCCTGGCATCTGGGACAACTCGGCTTGACCAAATTCTCCAGACCGCAATCATAGCAAAACAAATTGCCTGTCGTGGAAGGGCAGTACATAAATCCATGTCCCTTTTCTTTGCAATTCCAGCAAATGAAGTTGGCTTGTCTGGAGATTGCTTCAACTTCCCATTCACCGACGTTCTCTTCATACTTGATGGTATGTACTGCTGCCTATGTTATGGCACTGCTTGCTGGAGGCTGGTTAATTTTCCCAAACGCCGCTGAAACAAGAACCAGTTCTCAGCTGGACCTTCCAACAATTGTGGGAACTTTATTACCACATCTTTGTCTCTACAACCATAGTCTTCCTTTAATCGCTCCAGTCGAAACATAAAATCTTCCGCAGTAATCGATTTTCAGGTCCCGTCGAATCTTAGTTGCCACTGGTGCATCTCGCTTGGCACTGTACCCGAGTATTGTCTATGTGGAGGTAGCCAATTATTTTGCCCTGGCTGGTGCCAACTTATTCCCTGTGGCGGCTGATCATTCCCATTAGGATGGGATGGCCAGTTCCATGAAATTGGTGCGGAACACCCATACGATACTGATGGATGCTGCTAACCCATTTGAGTCGGTGCATTGGAGGTAAGATGTGCCTGTGGTAATTGCCCCTCTGTGTATGGTTGCTGGTTCGGAAGCTGCAATGGTAGACTGTCCTGCGGTGGCTGTGACTGGATACGTCCTTGTTGCTGAAGATGGCAGTTTTGCGATTGCGGTGGCTGTATGCCTGTTTGTGGCTTAGGCTGGTTGTTTTGCGATGGTAACTGCTGTGGCTGCATACCTGTTGGTAACTGAGCCTGGTCATTCTGTGGTAGCTGTGAAGGTGCATATATTTGTGACTGAGGATGGTTATGCTGTGGTGGCTGTGGCTGCGAATATATTTGTGGCCGTGGCTGGTTATCCGGCGGTGGTACTTGCTGACCACGGGGTCCTGATTTCGATCCTAAGCTAGACTAATTCCGCCCTTCTGCTAGAACCTTTGGACTCTGGTTCGAAGAAGCTGCACTCCGCCTGACTCCTATCTCCGCCAAGGTTCTTTGGACCAACTGACTTCAATATAATTTGGAACATATATTTTTCTATCGAATTTGCATTAAAACACGAAAGCGGTCGAAATGTTTATAAAAGCTATATATATATATATATATATATATATATATATATATATATATATATATATATATATATATATATATATATATATATATATATATATATATATATATATATATATATATATATATATATATAAACGTGACGAATACGTGGCCAAAATACAAACTATTACCGAGAAACAAGACAGTCTTCCCGATCTAATCGCGAAGGATGGGTATATATATATACATATATATATATATATATATATATATATATATATATATATATATATATATATATATATATATATATATATATATATATATATATATATATATATATATATATATATATATATATATATATATATATATATATACCCATCCTTCGCGATTAGATCGGGAAGACTGTCTTGTTTTTCGGTAATAGTTTGTATTTTGGCCACGTATTCGTCACGTTTAAAGTCATCTGCCGTCAGATCTACCAGGCTCTCCATCTCTTCTTTGAAGAGGAGACTCCACCTAGCCAAGCGCCCACTCAGCTCTTTGTTGGTCATCAACCACTTTAGGGACGAATGATCGATGATCACCGTAAACGTATCAGCTAAATGTATGGCACTCATGTTCCGTTACGGAATAGTTCTTTTGGGCCGGAGTCAACTTCTGTGACATATAGGACACTGAGTGCTATCCTCCCTCATTGTCATACTGAAAAAGCACGCCACCGATTCCCAAGTCAGACGTGTCATACTGCACATAGAAATGTCGATTAAAATGGGAATGTTGCAGGACGGGACTCTGAGTCAATGCCTCCTTCAGCTTCTCAAAGGCTTCCTTAGCATCTTCCCCGAATTCAAACGAGCGGCCTTTCCTGAGAGTAGCAACTATGAGGGTAGCCTGCGTAACATAATCGGCGATACCAGTCCGTCATCCCCAGTGATGGCTGCCTCCTTCTCGTGATCGACCTTTACTTTGCCCTCGCCTACGATATAGTCTAGGTAGCATAGCTTCCGAAAGCTGAATTTCGATTTTTCAACATTAATGGTCAATTTTGCTGCTTTTATTTCTTAACAGGCTCAGGTGCGTTTCAAATTCGGGCCTACGATGAGCAAGTCATCCAGATAAACAAATACCCTTTCGCGCAGGTGCCCTTGAATCACCTTATACATCAACCGGCATAACCTTTGGGCTGCATAACACAACCCAAAAGGCATGACGGTATAGTGATATAAGGGTCTTCCAGGAACCGTAAACGCCGTCTTCTCTCTACTCCTCATTTCAAATGGTTTTGCCAAAAAGAATCCTTTAAATCCACGCTAGAAATGAGTATCCCCCAATCTGCTGAGCAGGCCCTCAATATTTGAGAGCGGATAGGCGTCGTTAACAGTCAGGGCATTGAGCTTCCTGGCGTCCAGGCATAGCCTGTTCTTGGTACCTTTGCGCACCAAAGTGACCGGGCTATTCGAGGGGGTTTAGCTCTGCTCAATGACCTTCATATTAAGCATTCTATCGAACAGCGTAATGTTTGTTTTTTATAGGCTCTGCGTCCGCTTTATCGATGACATGTGTCTCTAGACACGTTTTCCCAAAACTGAGCATTGCGAAAGATGGAAATAGATCAATCACCTTATCTAATCGTCTTCTATTCTCTTCTGACAAGTTATGTAAAGTTAAGTCAGCAAAATCCATGCCGGTGTCTTCCTCAATCGATAGGAACTCAATGGCAGCCAAAAACTTAAATGAACGCATCAAGTCTACCCCAAGATAAAGTACCCTGTCTAATGTTGGGACTAGGACAAATTCCACCTTTCTCTCGAACTTATTTAATTTAATAAATTTCCTAATTCGACCCACAACGGGATGAGGAGTCTTTATCACCGATTCGGCAGTCTTTATCACCGATTTGAATGGGTATATAGGTAAATGGGCACGCTCCGCCAGTTCAACACCACCCTTGTCTAGACACGTGGCGGTGGCCAAGATGCCTTCGATCTCCTCAGAACCTATCTTAATTCGGGCGTATAGGCGAGTATCTTCCCCCTAATACAACATGGCTTCGGATATTTGATGCCTTAAATTCTTCCTGACTCTGAATTTGTTTCTAGCTTTTAGTAAACTCTTAATTCTGGGGGATTGTATGTCTTTTTTAATTCATTTGACATTACTAATTCATATCCTTCCTTTTTATTAACTATCCTACTGTTATTCATTGCAACTAATTCATTCACTTCATTATCCTTACTGGCTACACTATCATGTATAAATTCCTGAACCTTACTTTCTAAATCTTTACTACTATCTTCATTAAAAATTCTTTTTCTAGCCGCCTCATATTCCTGCAGGCGGACATGCCAGGGTATTATTTCATTTATTCTTACTTTATTTCGTTCATTTTTACTTATACTAACACTATTTCTATCTCTTTCTAAATTTTTCTGCCCCTGCTCCTCAGGCTCCATTACTGGGGATTGGATTGAGCCGGACGCCCTATCCCCCTTGCCGCACCGGTCTTCTGGTTTCCCTGGCATCTGGGACAACTCGGCTTGACCAAATTCTCCAGACCGCAATCATAGCAAAACAAATTGCCTGTCGTGGAAGGGCAGTACATAAATCCATGTCCCTTTTCTTTGCAATTCCAGCAAATGAAGTTGGCTTGTCTGGAGATTGCTTCAACTTCCCATTCACCGACGTTCTCTTCATACTTGATGGTATGTACTGCTGCCTATGTTATGGCACTGCTTGCTGGAGGCTGGTTAATTTTCCCAAACGCCGCTGAAACAAGAACCAGTTCTCAGCTGGACCTTCCAACAATTGTGGGAACTTTATTACCACATCTTTGTCTCTACAACCATAGTCTTCCTTTAATCGCTCCAGTCGAAACATAAAATCTTCCGCAGTAATCGATTTTCAGGTCCCGTCGAATCTTAGTTGCCACTGGTGCATCTCGCTTGGCACTGTACCCGAGTATTGTCTATGTGGAGGTAGCCAATTATTTTGCCCTGGCTGGTGCCAAATTATTCCCTGTGGCGGCTGATCATTCCCATTAGGATGGGATGGCCAGTTCCATGAAATTGGTGCGGAACACCCATACGATACTGATGGATGCTGCTAACCCATTTGAGTCGGTGCATTGGAGGTAAGATGTGCCTGTGGTAATTGCCCCTCTGTGTATGGTTGCTGGTTCGGAAGCTGCAATGGTAGACTGTCCTGCGGTGGCTGTGACTGGATACGTCCTTGTTGCTGAAGATGGCAGTTTTGCGATTGCGGTGGCTGTATGCCTGTTTGTGGCTTAGGCTGGTTGTTTTGCGATGGTAACTGCTGTGGCTGCATACCTGTTGGTAACTGAGCCTGGTCATTCTGTGGTAGCTGTGAAGGTGCATATATTTGTGACTGAGGATGGTTATGCTGTGGTGGCTGTGGCTGCGAATATATTTGTGGCCGTGGCTGGTTATCCGGCGGTGGTACTTGCTGACCACGGGGTCCTGATTTCGATCCTAAGCTAGACTGATTCCGCCCTTCTGCTAGAACCTTTGGACTCTGGTTCGAAGAAGCTGCACTCCGCCTGACTCCTATCTCCGCCAAGGTTCTTTGGACCAACTGACTTCAATATAATTTGGAACATATATTTTTCTATCGAATTTGCATTAAAACACGAAAGCGGTCGAAATGTTTATAAAAGCTATATATATATATATATATATATATATATAAACGTGACGAATACGTGGCCAAAATACATATAAATACATATATATATATATATATATATATATATATATATATATATATATATATATATATATATATATATATATATACCCATCCTTCGCGATTAGATCGGGAAGACTGTCTTGTTTCTCGGTAATAGTGTGTATTTTGGCCACGTATTCGTCACGTTTAAAGTCATCTGCCGTCAGAATAGTTACGGAATAGTTCTTTTGGCTGGAGTCAACTTCTGTGACATATAGGACACTGAGTGCTTTCCTCCCTCATTGTCATACTGAAAAAGCACGCCACCGATTCCCAAGTCAGACGTGTCATACTGCACATAGAAATGTCGATTAAAATGGGAATGTTGCAGGACGGGACTCTGAGTCAATGCCTCCTTCAGCTTCTCAAAGGCTTCCTTAGCATCCTCCCCGAATTCAAACGAGCGGCCTTTCCTGAGAGTAGCAACCATGAGGGTAGCCAGCGTAACATAATCGGCTATACCAGTCCGTCATCCCCAATGATGGCTGCCTCCTTCTCGTGATCGACCTTTACTTTGTCCTCGCCTACGATATAGTCTAGGTAGCATAGCTTCCGAAAGCTGAATTTCGATTTTTCAACATTAATGGTCAATTTTGCTGCTTTTATTTCTTAACAGGCTCAGGTGCGTTTCAAATTCGGGCCTACGATGAGCAAGTCATCCAGATAAACAAATACCCTTTCGCGCAGGTGCCCTTGAATCACCTTATACATCAACCGGCATAACCTTTGGGCTGCATAACACAACCCAAAAGGCATGACGGTATAGTGATATAAGGGTCTTCCAGGAACCGTGAACGCCGTCTTCTCTCTACTCCTCATTTCAAATGGTTTTGCCAAAAAGAATCCTTTAAATCCACGCTAGAAATGAGTATCCCCCAATCTGCTGAGCAGGCCCTCAATATTTGAGAGCGGATAGGCGTCGTTAACAGTCAGGGCATTGAGCTTCCTGGCGTCCAGGCATAGCCTGTTCTTGGTACCTTTGCGCACCAAAGTGACCGGGCTATTCGAGGGGGTTTAGCTCTGCTCAATGACCTTCATATTAAGCATTCTATCGAACAGCTTAATGTTTGTTTTTTATAGGCACGTTTTCCCAAAACTGAGCATTGCGAAAGATGGAAATAGATCAATCACCTTATCTAATCGTCTTCTATTCTCTTCTGACAAGTTATGTAAAGTTAAATCAGCAATATCCATGTCGGTGTCTTCCTCAATCGATAGGAACTCAATGGCAGCAAAACTTAAATGAACGCATGAAGTCTACCCCAAGATAAAGTACCCTGCCTAATGTTGGGACTAGGACAAATTCCACCTCTTTCTCGAACTTATTTAATTCAATAAGTTTCCTAATTCGACCCACAACGGGATGAGGAGTGCCGTCGGCAGTCTTTTTCACCGATTTGAATGGGTATATAGGTATATGGGCACGCTCCGCCAGTTCAACACCACCCTTGTCTAGACACGTGGCGGTGGCCCCACTATCCAAGATGCCTTCGATCTCCTCAGAACCTATCTTAATTCGGGCGTATAGGCGAGTATCTTCCCCCTAATACAACATGGCTTCGGATATTTGATGCCTTAAATTCTTCCTGACTCTGAATCTGTTTCTAGCTTTTACTAAACTCTTAATTCTGTGGGGATTGAATGTCTTTTTTAATTCATTTGTCAGTACTAATTCATATCCTTCCTTTTTATTAACTATCCTACTGTTATTCATTGCAACTAATTCATTCACTTCATTATCCTTACTGGCTACACTATCATGTATAAATTCCTGAACCTTACTATCTAAATTTTGACTACTATCTTCATTAAAAATTCTTTTTCTAGCCGCCTCAAATTTCTGCAGGCGGACATGCCAGGGTATTATTTCCTTTATTCTTACTTTATTTCGTTCATTTTTACTTATACTAACACTATTTCTATCTCTTTCTAAATTTTTCTGCCCCTGCTCCTCAGGCTCCATTACTGGGGATTGGATTGAGCCGGACGCCCTATCCCCCTTGCGGCACCGGTCTTCTGGTTTCCCTGGCATCTAGGACAACTCGGCTTGACCACATTCTCCAGACCGCAATCATAGCAAAACAAATTGCCTGTCGTGGAAGGGCAGTACATAAATCCATGTCCCTTTTCTTTGCAATTACAGCAAATGAAGTTGGCTTGTCTGGAGATTGCTTCAACTTCCCATTCACTGACGTTCTCTTCATACTTGATGGTATGTACTGCTGCCTATGTTATGGCACTGCTTGCTGGAGGCTGGTTAATTTTCCCAAACGCCGCTGAAACATGAACCAGTTGTCAGCTGGACCTTCCAACAATTGTGGGAACTTTATTACCACATCTTTGTCTCTACAACCATAGTCTTCCTTTAATCGCTCCAGTCGAAACATAAAATCTTCCGCAGTAATCGATTTTGAGGTCCCGTCGAATCTTAGTTGCCACTGGTGCATCTCGCTTGGCACTGTACCCGAGTATTGTCTATGTGGAGGTAGCCAATTATTTTGCCCTGGCTGCTGCCAACTTATTCCCTGTGGCGGCTGATCATTCCCATTAGGATGGGATGGCCAGTTCCATGAAATTGGTGCGGAACACCCATACGATACTGATGGATGCTGCTAACCCATTTGAGTCGGTGCATTGGAGGTAAGATGTGCCTGTGGTAATTGCCCCTCTGTGTATGGTTGCTGGTTCGGAAGCTGCAATGGTAGACTGTCCTGCGGTGGCTGTGACTGGATACGTCCTTGTTGCTGAAGATGGCAGTTTTGCGATTGCGGTGGCTGTATGCCTGTTTGTGGCTTAGGCTGGTTGTTTTGCGATGGTAACTGCTGTGGCTGCATACCTGTTGGTAACTGAGCCTGGTCATTCTGTGGTAGCTGTGAAGGTGCATATATTTGTGACTGAGGATGGTTATGCTGTGGTGGCTGTGGCTGCGAATATATTTGTGGCCGTGGCTGGTTATCCGGCGGTGGTACTTGCTGACCACGGGGTCCTGATTTCGATCCTAAGCTAGACTGATTCCGCCCTTCTGCTAGAACCTTTGGACTCTGGTTCGAAGAAGCTGCACTCCGCCTGACTCCTATCTCCGCCAAGGTTCTTTGGACCAACTGACTTCAATATAATTTGGAACATATATTTTTCTATCGAATTTGCATTAAAACACGAAAGCGGTCGAAATGTATATAAAAGCTATATCCAAATCTAACCGATTCAAATATAGCTTGACTATATTATTTTTGTACCAAATTCCGATACGCCTTCTACATTTGAATGAAATTGGATATATGTAGTGTTTTTGGTGAACCTAATTTTATTGAAATTTGGTCAAATGCATGAAGTCGGTGAAATTATACATGGCAGGTATACCCAAACCTCAGCCGATAACAATATAAGTTGATATTAATTTTTATACCAAACTAAATTATACATTCTGTCGGCCGAGTTTATAACCAAATCTGAGCCGATTCCAATATAATTTGACAAATTCATTTTGTAGCAATTTCCGTCTCTCATTCCAAATTTCATTGAAGTTGGACATAAATAGCGTGTTAGGTGAATCAAGTACATGAAATCCGCCAAAAACATATAAGAGCTATATAATTACACATTCTATATTTCATTAACATTGGAAATACCTAGTGAGTTTAGTGTATCTAGTACATGAAATCGACCGAAAATATATGAAAGAGCTATGTCCAAATCTAAACCGAATTTAATATAATTTCACAATTTAATGGATGTACCAAATTCCATCATACAATCTGTTTACAAAAGAATATATTCATTTTAATGTTTACTCCGTTTTCAAATTTGTAACGGACTATCGTGTACAACTGTGTAATATTCATCATACAGTCGTACTGCCAAATTATATCTTGTGACATTTCCAAAAGCTCCACTTGTGACATCTTCGCTTGCTCGTTGTTTTCTGACACTTAATCGTTTTTTGGATTACGTCCTAACAACAACGAGCTTTCTCAGCAACATTTTGAAAAAGATAAGAATATTTTTCTAAAACAATATTCAATTAAATAAAACTATCCAATATTTCTATTGGACAAAATACTAAAAATTGTTTGTTTCTTTTCCTTTATATTTTGGTGCTATTTCTACTTTTCCCCTTTGCTACGCAAACATTTGGTCCATTGCGAGCCAGATAGGTGCAACAAGAAATAATAAGGAATTCTGCTCTTTTTCTCCAAAAGGTTTGACTACGTCAACTGGCAGAACAAAACAACAACATTTCCTCATCACAAACATCAACAAAAATAACAAACAGGTACGTAGAGTGCAAATCAGTGAGCAAAGTTTTCAAATAAATTCAAAATAAAACCAAAAAAATATATCGCTTAACCTACGGTCGTCCAAACAGTTCCGCGCAGTGTTGTTGTTTGTGCTTTATATTCATAAACGAATATACGTATGTATGTAAATATTAATTTTTTCGTTACGCGAAAATAAAATAAACAAGTTAAAAAGCAGTAAGCTCGACCGGGCCGAAATTTTAATACCCTCCACCATTTGCAACGAATTTGGAAATTTTCAAAAAAATAAAATCCTTAAAAAATTCTGTTAAAATTTTAAAAATACCGAATATAGCCGTTATTTTGGGGTCTATACGACGTGGACATGCATAGGCATTGTTGGTCATAAGCCATTACCATATTCAAATTCGAAACTTGAAATAAACGGTGAACAATGTAGCTAAAATCATAAAAATACCGAATATAGGGAGGTACCGTTATATGGGGGCTATACGAAGACCTGGACCCGCACAGACAATTTTCTGTCACAGACTTTAGTTCCCATAACGAACTTCAAATACCAATTTTAAAACAATTCCGGTGAATAATGTCGCTAAAATCATCAAAATACCGAATATAGGGAGGTACCGTTATATGGGGGCTATACGAAGACGTGGACCTGCACGGATAATTTTCCGCCTTAGGATGTAGTATCCATTTTGAACTTCAAATACCAAATTTAAACAATTCCCGTGAATAATGTCGCTAAAATCATCAAAATACCGAATATCGGGAGGTACCGTTATATGGGGGCTATACGAAGACGTGGACCTGCACGGATAATTTTCCGCCTTAGGATGTAGTATCCATTTTGAACTTCAAATACCAAATTTAAAACAATTCCCGTGAATAATGTCGCTAAAATCATCAAAATACCGAATATAGGGAGGTACCGTTATATGGGGGCTATATGAAAACGTGGACCTACATGGCCCATTTACGAACTTAACCTGCCTACTGGAAAAATAAACATGTGTGCAAAATTTTAGCCACCTATCTCAACTCATTCGAAAGATAGCGTGATTACAACAGACAGACAGACAGACGGACAGACAGACAGACAGAGGGACATCGCTAAATCGACTTAGAATTTTACGCTGATCAAGAATATATATACTTTGTTGGGTCTGATATGAGTATTTCGAGGAGTTACAAACGGAATGACAAAGTTAATATACCCTCCATAGTATGGTGGAGGGTATAAAAATACCAACAAAGCGCATCAACTATTATTCCAGTGATCTGTGTTGTTATTATTCTACAAAGAAGAATAAGTGATTGGTATTGCAGTTTCCAAAAACATAAAATAGAAACGTTTGTTGATTGCTTTCTTGATTTTTAATAATTTTGTAATATGTCGCTTACTCCTCTTGACTTTTTCATCCGAGCATCTGACGCTCTGGTCAAGCTCTCTGCAAACTTTTCTGACCTACGGGATGAAGACCTTGATTTCTATTCGCTTGAGATTCAAGGAAGTGAAGCAAAAGAACTTTGGAGTAAGGTGAAACAGTTATTTGATAAAAGTTTAAATTACTTGCAAACATGGGAAGACGCATGTGCAGAGGACATCACTTCAGCTGACAGTAAGTATGATGTCGCTTATAAAGCTTTTCTGCAAGTGTTGTCTGCCATCAATAGAAAGGTAGACGAAATTAAAAATAAGTCTAAAACGTCTGTTCCTCCTTCTAATACCAATCCGCCACCATCTACACCACGTATAGATTCTCCTCTAGCAGATGATGTTTATTCGATCTCTGAGGCTTCACAAAAATCCACTAGTAAATCATGAATGGCATTTTACTTAATAATAGCTTGACTCACAGTCTTAATTTGCCTCCGTGTGACATAGATGTGTTCAATGGTGACTTTCTTTCGTGGCCCACCTTTAGGGATTTCTTCTCAGCTGTCTATATTAACAATTCTCGCTTGAGCGAAATTGAAAAATTGTGCCACCTTCTTAAGAAAACGAGTGGCGAAGCTCGAGATATTGTCTCAAAATTTCCATTTATGCATAAAAGTTTCAATTTAGCCTGGAAAGCATTGAAAGAAGCATATGATAATGTGCGTATTTCGGTAAATAATCAACTAAAAGTTCTATTCAATCTTCCAGTTGTTGAAAATGAGTCAAGTTCAGGTTTGAAAAATTTGCAGCGTGGAATTAATAGTTGTGTTTCCGCTATGACTATTTATGACGTGCCAACCGACGGTTGGGATCCAATTTTGGTATTTTTGTGTCTTCAAAGACTTCCCCAACAAACAGTTACACTGTGGGAACAAAGCGTCAAGAATAAGTCAGCGCTATCATCTTGGAATGATCTGACAATTTTCTTACGGAAAGAGTTCAGACATTAACTTGCCTGAGAGACATCAATGGTATTGCTGATTCCAAGAAGGTTGATAATAAAAAAGTTCGGGCACATTTTACGAATGCTGCCAGTTCCACTACTTCTTCCCATACAAATCGTTCGTCTCCTGAGAAAACTTGTGTGTTATGTCCATCGCAGATCATGTCCCGAGTTCAGAAATAGTTCTCTTTCAGATCGTTTATCTATAGTTAAACGTAATCATTGTTGCATTAATTGCCTCTCCAGGGGTCATGATGTAAAAAATTGTAGCAGCACTCATAGTTGTGCTAAGTGTAATCGAAGACATCACACTTTGCTACACCGGGAAGCTTTTCAAGTTTCCAGTTCTGCAAATAGTGTACCACCATCCTCTCATGGCCCGCCCGGTTCTGCTCCTGCTCCTCGTCTACCAGAAACTGCCAATTTTAACCCGAATCTTCCATCTACGTCTTCTGGCCAACAATCTAGTTCCGTAAATAGACAGGTGTTTCATACGTCACAAAAAAGGACGGTTCTCTTGGGCACAGCTATGGTGAATATTGTTCACCAGGGTATGACGTATCCAGCTCGCGCCTTGATTGATCCTGCTTCTGAAGCATCGTTTATTACTGATAGATTACAACAGCGTTTGGGTATTTCTGCAATTTCCACTCAAGCCACTGTTTCTGGCGTAAATCAAACTGTTTCAACATTGTCGAGAAAGCTGTGTTCGTTTGGTATTTTGGCACCCATAGATAGTTCACTTCTTTTAAAAATTTCAGCGTTGGTAGTTCCTACCATTTCTGGAAATCTTCCATCCTTTGTGGTTAGTACTGAATTTTCTTCCAAGTTGCCAAATCTACGTTTAGCTGACACCCAATTATTCGACTGTCGACCAGTTGATATGTTATTAGGCGCTGATATCTATCCTAAAATTCTCTTACAAGGAATGCAATCTAATATTTTGGGTTCCTTAATTGCGCAAAATACTGTGTTCGGCTGGATTATTACTAGTCCCATTTCTGCTAACCACATCAGAGTATTTTCTACTAATGTAGCATATTCTGAAGAAGATGCTCTTAACAAGACACTTCTTCGATTTTGGGAACTGGAAGAAGTTCCAATGCGCTCAATCTTGTCTCCTTCCGACAAATACTGTGAGGAAAATTATAAAAATACTACTAGAAGGGATTCTAATGGCAGACATATTGT